CCCCCTTTGGGCTTCTAAGAAAAAAAAATTCCTTGTGAAATTTTGGTATAGGCTATATTTTGCCTACCTAATTCCAAACCCACTCTTATCCATAAGAGAGTGCTTAATTTTTCATTTGTAAATATTGTTTTGACGGCATGTTACACGAATAACGGCACATCGAAAATCAATTTCTTGGAAATACGTATACGCCAAAATTAACAGTTAACATACGTATAAAGTACGTACGTACGTACATAGCAACTATTTATGCATACTGCTGAAACCTAAAATAAGCCAATACTAAATTCATCAGTAAGTTGTTATTTTATAAACTTTATGTAGCTCTATAAAGTTGTACGTATAAATATTATATGTATAAAAATTTTAAATTAGGTCTACAAACACAATGTAGACTTATATAATAAAATTTTTATATGTAAATTGCGTAATATATAATTTTATTTATTATGTATATATAAAATTCTATGTAAATTTTATTTACATCTATATAAAATAATTTAATTTACTTCAGCTATTTCTCAAAAGTGATTAAGGTCGATGCACTAAGTAAAAATGTTCAGCATGCTCGAAAACCTTCCTCTAATTTAAACTTTAAAATCTAAATATTTACTGTAAGTTAAATTTATTTTACTATTTTACATAATTATATAGATTTATATAAATAGATATGTAAATATACATTGGGTTTATAAAGTTTTGTAAAGTTATGTGGTACATGAAAATGTTACATAATTCTACATAAAAACTCTATGTAATTCTACATAATAACAACTTCGTGATGTTTAGCTTATCTTCAATGTGTTGGTCGATCTTTATTCCGCATAAAGTTACGTCATATCTGATATGATTTCTATGCAAAGAGGTTGAGAGTACTTCACTTTATTGAGATTGATAATTCAAGAGGTTATTCCCAATGTGCTACTTGTTTATGCATTATTTCTATATAAAGTGATTGAGGTTTTTAAATTTCTAGCTCCGTACGTACGTATGTACGTAGGGTGCAAGAAATTTAAAAACATCAATCTCCCTATAAATTATCGATATAGATTAATAGTCTAGAATCTCCTTGCATGGGGATAATATGTCAAAGAATAAATATGTACTTAAGAGTAACTATTATCTGCATTAACTTATAAGAACGTCATATTTCGATCACTTCGAATGAGTTAATTGACTTTGTCAAAGAATAATAATATGTATTTAAGAGTGAATATTATCTGTATACTGACTCTTAAAAACGTCATATTTAAATCACTTCGCATGAGTTAATTGACCTTTAATCTATATAAAGTGATTGTGGTTTTAAATTTCCCGCACCGTACGTACGTACGTAATTTCAACATAAGGTTTGTACAAATTCTTTAAAGGATTTTATAAATACAACGGGGTATGCGCTACAATATAATATAATTTTTTTTGGCGAAAATCTTTTCCAATAAAAAAGGAGACCCGTATCCAACTTCAAACTTATAAAGAAACGATCTGCGGCGTGCCGACAAAAAAAGTAACTTTATTATAGGGGATAGATTAGTGGACCAAAATCGCCCAAAATTTTACTAATAAAATGGTGGCCCACGTACTAAGTAAAGCTGCCCAGATGATATTTTGCTGTAGTATAGTTGGCTGGTATTAGTGCTTAATGCAGGCAAGCTCCGGACCTATTCGACCGGGGTAAAATCACCACCCAAAAAGGTTTCGAACGTTACATGACAAGTATATCGAGCACCAAAAATCCATGTAACTTGAACAAAAATACAAACAAAAATTTATAGACTAACAAAATAATAACGATAAGCAATACATTAATCATTTTATTTATTTTGAATAAATTCAGTAAACATAATATTTATTACAGCCAGAAAGTATTATGATTATAGTTTTTCTAAATATTTGTAAGATTCCATTGCCCTTTAAAATGATTATAATCCTCTTCCAATTTATGCAATGACTCAAAGTTTTTATTGATATTATCGAGCCATTTGTTACTATTTAGATTCATTATGTTTTCTTCAATAATTTTTTTGTTGCGTCTCGGATTCAGATTTATAAAAATTTTTTGCTCAAATAAATATTCAGAGCTATAGTCTTCCGGAAGGAACATTAAAATAAATCCACAAGGTTTTCTGGTGTAATTGCATTTTCTTGACTAGATTTTATAATTTATTTCGACTTTCATTCTTTTTTCGATTATTACAATCGACTCTGAATATACCGAACTGCAGATTCCGGAAGATTTTGTTCGGTATAGAGAAGTTTTTTATATAGGTTTACCCTCTATATACCGAACAGTTCGGTATATATGGCAAACCAATAAAATCATGCGCACGTGATTAAGATCGTGGCTTAGATCGGAATTTTTCGGAATTTCACTCGAAATTTTGTGTTTATTCATTTTCCTTTCGGTTATAATCAACCGGATATAATAAGTTCGTTATATCGAAATATGTATATATAGTCCGACATTGTCCTAGGCTGGAAAAAAGGAGTTCGGATGCGGTATATAAAACTTTGCTATGTGAGTTCGGTATAACCAGCCTAAATGATTATAAAAAATTGATTCTGCCAGATCCGGTTCGTTATAGCCCGATTTCGGTATAAAAGGTTCGGTATAACAAGTGTCGACTATATTATGAAAATTTGGTTACGGCAATCAAGTATATTTTTAGAATATTGTGTTTATTGGATTTAATGCTTTTAAAAGAATCACTTGGTTTGTCGAGATTGTAATGATCGCTTTTCATTTTGAAGAATCAAAGAAAAAACATCACTCATTAAATCAATTAATATAAATATTAATATTATCATGATTTTAATCATGATCAATTCCGACCCTAAATTTTGGTTCATCGCAGAATTTTGGTTGCTCCACTAAACTTTTCATGAAAGGTAGGGTTGGCATTACATGAATTACATTTTTACGTTTCATGAAATTACATTGTATCTTACGAAACTGTAATGTCACTTTTCATTAAATAGTGCACTGCCACATGACAATTGCACCAGAGTTACAAAAGTTTGCCAGCATCCACCATTATGTTAGGAATTGTAATTTTATACTTACTTTTATGCAAGATTTATAAAGTTTATTTACATGATCAAAATTACATGTAATTTTGATTTTTAATTACGTAAAATTACGGTAATTTGTCAACCCTAATTATAGGTTACATTACGGATTATGCCTAGAAATGGAAAAATTACCGTAATTTTGCATAATTTTACGTAACTTTGCGATAAGTTTCAGTAACTCATAAGTGAATTGAAGAGTTACAAATTAGGTCATGCAAAAATGCTTGCCGAACTTGTAAGCTAATACTTATATAGTGTAATATGAAAATTACATATATAAGATTGTAATTTTCAAACCTAATTACGCCAAGCAGTTAATCAAGTATAGGGATGGCCACGGTCGGTCATTTTCGGCTAACCGCTTTGTAGCCGTTAGCTGTGTCTCGCGATCCAGTGGTCCAAATTGGATTATTTTAGTACCATTCGAATCGTCTCATTAAGATGATTCGAATGGTACAAAATAATCCTATTTAGATCACTGGATCACAAGATAGCCGCGGCTAGCCGCGGCTTAGCTGGTTGGCTAAGCTGAAAATGACTGACCGTTGCCATCCCTAACCAAGTAGCACATCAAAGTCTAATATTTCTTAAATTATCGACACGCTATATTGATGATTTAGGAAATTTTTTTTTTAATGGGATTTTTATTGCGGTGTTTTTTTTTGTACAACCTATTTTATATCTTTTTTATTCACATATACAAAAAGAAATCCCTATGTATAAATAAATTGTGTATAAATTTAAACCATCAGTTAGGATATAGCTCATATCACTATCAAAAAGAAACTTATCGTCATTAACAATGAGCACATCTGATAACTCATCCAAAGGAGAAGACTTGAGCATGGGCCGTAACATGGCTTGGAATGAAAGAAAATATAATCTCATTAAGCTAAACAAAAATGTTGAAAAGTGGAAAGCACTTCGAGTATCTTCTTTTCACGTTTAGTCATAGCAGCTGCTTTGTGTATACTTTCACTTGGACTCGGATGCTATCTTTTTATTGCTGATAAAAGCAGTGTTAAATCACCATTAAAGATTATTTCAACCGCTATTTTTGGAACAGGAAGCCTTGGGATTTTGATTTCGAGCCTAATGTCACTTAAACAGCTTTTTACTAAAGAAGGGAAAAAGAGTGAAAATAAAAATAATAAATATGAAGAGAAAATTAATGACTTCGTTGTTAGCAATTCAAAAAAAAATTGTCCCAGAAAATTAGATTCTTCACAATCATCACCTTTACTATTTGTAAAAGCACTTATCAAGCATATAAATGTTATGATGATTTGTCGTACTATATGGATTTCTTTAATGTCGTGTACATTTATAATTTTATCTATAGTTGTTGTTTTTCTAATGATTTATAGTACTGAGAGTACTGACTTATATTTATACCATGACTTAACAATTATTCTTATTGCCTTTTCTGTTTTTTGTCTATTGGAGGTCATGGCTGTCTCTCTTTGTATTACATATTACATTCCTCAGTTGGATGAAGTGGATGAAGTGGATAAAGTGGATGAAACTAAAGAAGCGGACGCAAATAAATTGAAACAATCAAAATCAGGTGATAAAAAAAAATCAAATAAAAAATCAAAATTAGAACGTAAAAGCACACAAAATAAAGATATGCATATTTTAGTTAATGAAATGTTTAAATCTACATCTGGTTTTCTAAAGAAATATTACAGTTATTATAATGGGGAAGCCAATGAAAAAAATGAATTCCTTTGTATTACCGTTATTTTGGTAACCACAATACTAATAGCATGTGAGATTACTATATTGCAAAGAAAACTGTTGACAGAAAATTTTATGGAAAAGGAGAATCCGTCAAAAGATAATGATCAAATCTTGAAACGTTATCAAAAGAACATAGTTAATTTGTTAAGGACTATAAATTCTTATATGAACACTATTACTGATGATGCTGGCAGTATTATAAAATTCAAACCTTCTTATGCTATTGCTGGTGATGCTGATAGTATCAGATTTTTTAAATATTATCGACCAATATATTCTCCTGACCATAGTTATATGAGAAAGTCGTTACTTGAAATAGGATTAATTAGTAATTTAGATTATGATTATGATTATTTGCTTACCATAGAAAAATTAAATTCACCATTTTTAAATTTGAAAGAGATTTTTAATACTATATCTACTGAAAAAGCACATGGTTCGGATGATTCATATAACATTGATTTGATTGGATTGTACCATGATATAGTATACAAAATTGTCACAAATCTAACTATTGAAGATGATCAATCTGAACTAACTATTGAAGATGATCAATCTGAACCATCTATTGAAGATAATAAATCAGAAACCCCTTTAATTGAGAGAACATTGCTGAATGATTTAATTTATGAAATGGATAAGAAAATTACTGAGTATTCTAAGTCAGCCATTGAAAAAAATAAAGTAGAAGATATTGATCTAGACAATTTAGAGAAAAAAATAGGGTCAGTTCTATTAGGAATCATAGACATGATTACGGAAATCAGGACTCATAAAGGATTTCAAGATAATGATAATTTACAAAAGTATATTGATGATTTAAGAACTCAGGTAATAACTATAAAAGATGATTCGATTATGGAAAAGTGCTTTATGAGTAAAATTGATTTGTTTGACAGAATTTTTAAGAATAAAAAAAATCGTCTTCAGAAAATATTTTTGTGTTTTTTAATTATTATTTATTTTCCTAGTCTTCTCTTAATTGGTTTGATATCATGGAAAAAAGAAGATAAATGGGTGTATAAGGTACAATTAAATAGAATTGAAATGAGCAACAAAGAAAGAGAGATAATCAAACGTCTTCTTTTTGGGTTATCAATGGATAGTAGCAAATTTGTTTAGATATATAACTCCTTTCTACCTTCACCAGCATATTTCTGATTATTTCGATTTTTAATTATATTAGTCATTTGTATTCTTTTTTATTAGCTTTATTTTTCTCATGATATTTTTATGACTAAAAAGGAAACAGTGCACAAAAGTTGTGGCATGATGTATCCTGATTTTTTTTGATGATCTTTTTGTTAAATGGAATTTGGAATCTTGAGTAAGAAATATTACAATTATACAGTTTCTGGTTAATATTGATTATTGCATATAAGAAACTTGTATTTTTAATCTTACCCAGGTGCGCAAACAAATTTTACTATCATGTCATAACGACGAAATTATTTAAAGTTCATTTATGTTCTGGTTAGTATCTATATGGGAATAAGAATTTAGTGATTCTAATAGTAAAATTGCTTAAAAAAACTTTTGGTTAGTGCACAAAAGGTGGTTTCTTATGCAATTTTTTTTTATTTTTTTTTTTAAGAGTAAGGCCTGGCCTCGAGCATTATTGAATGATTATGCATTACATTATTAAATGGGTTACATGAATTATTACAGAGACCTACAGCTAGGACTACTTTATCCTCGGCCCAATGCTCTACTAGAGTGGGCTACCGCCTTCGCTAGATTTAGTTTAGCTATATATAATGTAGAAATGTTAGTTGTGAGAAAGAGCCTTTTCTATTTGTTATATTTAATTGTGCTAATGTGATGTGTAGGAGGGTGAGACAGGGTTAAAGCAGTGTATATATCTGTAAGAAGTTGATTCTGATGTATATTTTTACATCATTCAAGCCATATTTGTTTGTATATGTTAGTGGATATTTTGTGCAAGATTTTGATAAAAGTATTTTTGTAGATTAATGTGATGGTCTGGATATTCTCTGGAATTAGTTCTTTTAGTAGAGGATATTAGGTGTGCTTGTGCTATTTATGAAAAAACTCTGTACTAGTATTGCTGGATCTGATAGCTGGTTGTCCTGTTTTGAGCAGTACTTTGTAGTTGTTTTTGTTATTAGTTGGTGTAGTGATGTTAGATTTTTGATCAAGTAACCAATGGGTATTGTTTTCAATTGCCTGGGTGCATCTGTTGCATGTTGGATTTGTATATTTCTTTGTGTATTGGTAGTGCAGATTGAGCAGTGTTGGTAGCTCATCTAATAGAAATTTAATTTTAAAGTTCTTTTTTAGTGATAATTTGGATGTATAAACCTTGTGTATGTATAGTTTGTTGTTGTAGTTAATATATTGGTGGTACTGCTCCAGTTTGTATTCTGTTGAATATCTTGCCAGCTGCCTGTTCTATTAAGTGAATGCTACTTAGCAGTATTTCTTGCATTTTGTAAATGCTGTATAAATCAGCAAGTTTTATATACTACTGGTACATTGTTCTATATAATGTAAAGTTATTGTTGTCTAATGCATATAGTATTAGTTAAATTCAGTATTGCTGTAAAGATATAGCTAGTTTTATTGTCTTTTGGTACAGTGGGTGGTTTACTTTGTGATCTATATAAGTAAACTGAATATTTAAGTTTTTCCTAGCAATTAAAATCTGAATAAGTTCTTAAAAGGCTAGTAATTGTGCTTTGGATAAGAATATTGAAATTAAGTGAGTATTGTATAGTTGAGTTAACATAATTTATAGTTAGTTTGTAGGGTGTGTATATCATCAGAAAAATTAAATATTAGATTATTATTGATTAAAATCTAAGGATTTTAAATGATTCTCATCACCACTATCGATTAAAATCGATTGGGTTTTCATTGATTATAATTAATATATATAGAAAGTTATCAATTATAATCAACTTATATATATAGATTTATATTAATTATCATTATTATCAATTTGGATATGAATTGATTATCAGCATCACCGTCGATTATAATTGCTTGAAACCAATCGATTATAATCAATTAATTGTTTGCAACTGATCATAATTAGACTTCAAAATTTCCTGATGATAGTTATTTTAATGCTTGATAATGCAATTAAGAGGATTGATATAACCCCTATAAGGTATGCTCTGATGGTAGATAGCCAATATGTAATTGTAGCTAAAAAGAAAATATTAGTTAGTAAGATAGTTTAAACAAAACTTGTCTGACTATCTAAGGTATTTGGGTTTATTGAGTTGGCATATAAATATAGCTGCAAGTTTTTGTTTGTAAATTAATTTGGCTAAGATGCTAAAGAAGAAATAGGACAGTATCTGCCACAAATAGTTTGTATAATAAGTTATTGAGGTAGTTAGAATATGTACTATATTGTTCTTAGTTGTTTGAAGTATACATCTTGTTTTAGATAAAATAAACCTAGAGTGGTTTTGTAGTAAATTATTGATATCTGCACAAACTTGTTTTGTGCTAGTTATTTTAATAGTGATATACTAAGTACTTGGAAGAGTAATAGTGTATTATCAATATAAACTAATAGCTGATATGTGTATACAGTTTTACATAAGATTAGTGATATACTAGTATTACTTGTAGTTAATAGTGGTGCACCTAGTGTATGATCTGTAGATGATTATTAAACATTTTTGTTTTTATTATCTGGCCTATTATAGATAAATTATTATATTTGCAAAGTATCCATGATCTACAAGAAGGTTTAATATTGTTTGGCATAAACAGGTTTGGGCTAATAGTTGGGATATATGATTTTACTAAATCTTAAAATATATTATATAGTATTGTAAACCGTTTGGAAGTACATTCTGGTATTAATTTATTTATTTTGTATGATATATGTTGCTATTGGAAAAGATATGTATTGATATAGTTAGTAAGCTGTTTTATAGTATATATGTTTGCTTTGTTTGTATATATCTTGATATAGTATAATTTTTTTAGTATTTGATTAGTATATCAATAAGAGTTCCTGGATATATTGTGCAAATTGGCTAAGTGTTTGGTAAGTTAAGGATGTTAATATTCAGTTTGTGTGCAGTATAGATAGTTGTGCAGTTAATATATTATGATATATTTTTGGTAAGATAAACTGTGCTAATTGTAGAATATTTGTTGATGAATGTGTAGTATATTAGAGATGTTGAAGGTATATTTTTATAGGTTTTCAGTAGTGGAGTTATTAAGTTGGTTGTGCAAAGCTGATATTTGTATATCTTGCAATTGTCTTAAATTATAAATCTGATGATGAAATATACTTGTGTTGAAAATGATTATTACTAACTCTGCTTTGTGTTTTATAACTTGTATATATTGATTAGTGATTATGCATTTATTATTTTCAGAAATATATATATTGAGTATTTTGTAGAAGAATCAGTGTATAAGTACAGTGTTTATTATATAGATTGCCTGCTTTTCTGTTATCTTTTTCTTTTTTAAAATATTGATTAAGTTGGTAGCTTCTTCAGTAATTTGCTTGTGAATATATTTATGATTACTGGATACTGTAAACCAGCACCCAAGTATCAAAAGTTTCCTTGAGTAGTATACTAGAGATGTTTGTATTGGCAAAGATAATAGAGAAATTTGGATCTTTAGTACAATTAATAGCTAGGACTAATTTTGTAGAATTGACTGTAATATGTTCTATATTATAAAATGAAGTATGCTTGACAATTGTTTGAAAAATTTTTTTATTTGGGACCAAGGTATCATCTATATAGGCCAGCACAGAAGTATAATATGTTATAAGATTGTAATTTGGGATTGTATAGTTATAGTATAGCCTTAAAATTTAGAGTATATAAGGGGTCATAGTAGATGTGCCAAAGGAGAGGTGTAATAGTTTTTCTAAGTCAATTTTATTATATACTAGATAGAATAGCATTGGGCCAAAGTTTGTTATAATTAAGTTTTGGTGATCTGTAAGGATATTAATAAGTAGTTGTTGTATATTGTTTAGAATTTGTAGCCAATTTAGTATATGCTAAAGTAGAAATAAGTATACAAAGTTATATGCCTTACTCATATCTTGTAAAAAAGCCAGATCTCTTTGTTTTAGATTTGTGCTTCTTGCAGAATATTTGTAAGAATATAAATTAGTTGTATTGTAGAACTGTATAGAGTTGCCACAAAGTGTTTGGGTAAAGTATTGTATATCGTGTCATAATTTAACTAAGCTGATTTGTAATGATCTTTATAAAGATTTTACATATATGCTCTATAAGTGTTATGAGTCTTGTATGATTGAGCTGGCCTGTAAATATAGGTTTTTTAGATATTAGATATATCTTACTGTATTTCTATATAGTTGAAATATTGGAGGTTTCTAGACATTTGTTAAATAATATTGTTTTTTTTTTTTTATAATATTAATAGTGAGGCCATGCCTCTAACTTTATTGAATATTTAATTGAGACTATAACATAAAGCATTAATCTACTTTTAAAATATTATAAA